AATAATCATGTAAAATGTATACTTATTTTTATATATCATAATTTGCACATTTAATACGTATCAAAAAACCATAACTTCTCTTCCTGCATCTTCTTCCTCTATTAGATCATCTTCATCTTTCTTCTGTTGTTTTTTTTTAGATGTTGCATCTTTCTTTTCTTTTTGAGCTTTACGGAAATTTTCTAATGATTCTTGTAGTGGATCAACAAATTGATCAAACTCTATATCAGTCATCGCTTGAATAACATCCTGGCCACTTATTGTTTTACGATTTCCTTTTTTAGCAATTATATTTGCTGATGATGTTAAATATAGTATAAAAATTGAAGATGCTTTTGCTACTGCAGTTCTAGCATCTTTGGCAACTGTAACTCCTTCTGGTAATGCTTCTTTTATAATTCTAGTTACAACTGCATTTGGTAAATTAAGATCTTCAAGTCTTTCTGCCATCTGACGTTTTTATATATTTATTCTACAGAAACATAATATTATTGATCGTATGATGTCACGAAGAATAAATTTAATTATTTATTACAACGTGCGTTATGCACTAAGGTTATGATTCAGCATATACAAAGAATGTCGAAAGTAGTAGAAAATTAGAATTATAAATCAAATTACCTTGCTCTGAAAACGTTATCAAGTTCGAATTATTAATTAACTTAATTAAATCAAATCTGTGTTAAAACAAACGTAATGTGTTTATATCTTCTTATTTCCCGCCAATACATCCAATTGCGCACACAAACGAAATAAATCGAAATAATTGAAACAAATATATACCAATTCGAAAAAAAGGAATAAAATGTCACAAACAGACAAAATTTACATCAGCACTTATATTAAATGTAAATTTTGAACGAATAATATCAACAATTACATTGCTATTTTCAAGTGCTCTGAACTAAACTTTCAAGTGGTATAATGAGAATATAAGACCGAGATACTTACAGCACCCTCTACTTGAGCATTAAAGGCACTATTTTAAACGGTATGATAGGCATATCTAAAAGGACTTAACACATTGTTTTTTAAAAAGCATGTACATAATTAGCTGACTGAACATTATTAATAAATAATTACACAATTGTCTTAGTGCTACATATAAGTACGTATAATACGCATTCTTAAAGCAACTTAGTAAGATATTTAAATATTGTTCTTTCACTACATTACTACATACTTTAAAGTATGTATTCATAAAGAAAGATTTCGATTATTAAAATATAACAGTTATACATTTCCCAGTTGAATACAAAATTATGCTATAAAAAAGCTTCATAAGTATTTCAAACAATGATAACGTTCCCGCTTTAATATTATTGATATCGGGCATAGTATCGGTAAAGTTGGAAATGATACGAAGATGGTAAGACTCCAGAGTCCTCAAACTTTTTCGCATACGATGTAGTGTGACATATATGTATACTGACCAACTTGTCCAACGATATTTAATTTGTACAGAACGTAGAACCTATCGTTTGCACGGTAGTTTGACAAGAATCGTCTAAGAAAAACTTGATTGCCAATCTGACAGCACCATCATTTGAATTACCGAATCTTACGAAAACCAAAGCAAGACACCATTTGGAGAAAAATGTCAAAAATCGAGGAAGGAAATGCTCATATACGACAAGCTGAGAAAAGGTATTGTCAATGCAAAATGATAAATCGTGAACAGTTATGTCAACAAATAATTTGGTTTTTGTCAACTTTTTATGTGAAATTGATAATACTTAGCCTTTGTGTGTCATAAAAATAATTTGGTTTTTATTGATCCATTTAATAAAATGAGACAAATCTCTTATAGCTTAAAAACATCACTATTAAAATGGAGACCTGATTTCGAAGTTGCGGCCGAAAAATATACGAGCGCAGGTAAAATATATATGAATAATTAACATAATATCAGACAATTAATATAATATGCCCTGTTATTTGTTTTAGCAACTTGCTTTAGAATAGCAAAATCTTATCAACAATGTAGAGATTGCCTAATGAAAGCTGCTGATTGTTATAAAGAAAATAGATCGTATCCTTTTTTAAATAAGCATAGCTTTGTACAATAGTTAGATACAGCATTGTTTTAATTTTTTTACAATTATTAAAAATATATTTATTCTTTAACATCAATTATATGAAAGATGGTTTCATGCTGCAAAGTAAGTCCTTTAGATTCTTAATTTTTCTACATTTCGTAAGTAATACAGTTATTTATATTACTGCAATATGTAAAATTTTAGGAGTTTCGAACAAGCTATCTTAATTTCCAAAGAAATGGGAAATCTTGGAGATGTACCAAAATTGGCAGACCGTGCTTGCTCTCTGTATCAGATGCATGGATCACCTGAATCAGGTGCAACTGTACTTGATAAAGCAGGCAGCATGGTAGAAGCCAGTCAACCAGAGGCAGCATTAGAAATGTTTAAACGTGCTGCTAATATTGTTATGGTCAGATAGAATCTATTATTTATGAAATACTTATGAAAATATAAGTAAAAATTATATTATATATTTTTTCATAAAGGGTGAAGATAGCCCACGTCAGGCAGCAGAGTATATGAGCAAAGTTGCAAGATTATTAGTAAAACTACGAATGTATGATGAAGCAGCAGATGCAGTTCGCAAAGAAATTGGCATGCATCAACAAATAAATCATATACCTTCTGTTGGTAGATTAACAGTAGCATTAGTATTAGTACAGTTAGCTCGAGGTGATCAAGTAGCAGCTGAGAAAGCTTTCAAAGAGTTATAAATATTTATCTTTAGATTAATACATTAGAAATGCTTTTGCAAGCATATGATAATGAAAATGCAGATGATGCAAGAGCAGCATTAAATAATCCCTTCATTAAACACATGGATGTTGAATATGCTAAACTTGCTAGAGGTTTACCTCTACCACAGCAAGAATATGCAATATCCCCCCCAGGGGTAAGAGCAAATGCAGCAGAATCATATACATCTCCTAATGCATCAAAACTAATGGAAGAAAGTACTAGTGAAGTTCAAGTGAGTAATACATTTGTCTTGAAAATGTAAGGATTTTAAGAAAGAAATTTATGAAAATCTATGTTGCTTTACATTACTTTCTAGAACACGAGTATAGTAGAATCTCAAGAAACTTCCAAAACATTATCTAATGATGCTGCTGAGAAAGAACAAGCACAAGGAGCACCTTCACAAAAAGTAGAAAATAAAGAAGAAGACTACGATGGCGGGCTCTGTTGATTGCCTATACTTATGGAAATTAATGTAACTTATGTCTTGAATTACAAACAAACTTTATTTTATAAAAGGTACTATATCATATTAATCCAGAGATGTATATTTAATAGTATATATAGTAGTATATATGCATATATGCGTATATGCATATATACTATTTTATTCTTAGAAGTATTTCCAAAAACGTGATACTCATGAAAATTATACTTATTTAAAACTGCAACTATATAAACTATTTTAAATACATTCCTTGTACATGTGGCAAGGAATTCTCTGATGAAAAGTAAATATGTAACATATATGCATTTATGTTTAATAGAATAAAAAAATGTAACCTTTAAAAAATACTATTCACATATTGATATCAGCTTTGTAAATGTTATATTTTTCAGCACAGATAGAATATCTTCAATAGGAGACTACATATGATTTCAAATTTTATGTCAATAAACATGTACAAAACGCAGATATATTTTAATAATCTAATTTCATGTTTACCAACTGTAAAAGTATATATAAAATAAATTGTTATTGCAAACACTTAGGCACATGTAGATTCATTTATATTCATATGTCAAAAGAAAGAGGTTATGAATATCAAATCGGAGTTTATATAGATATAAGATATTTTACTCACGAGTTTTATGTTACAAAGTCAAATGCACCGTTTTCTTCTTCAGTATATCTTCAAGAACCAATAAAAAAAAGTTTTAATGCACCACTTTTATATTTTACACAAGTTTTTAAATACGTTTTTTCACTTGCTAGTTTTAAAAGATTGCCGCGAAATTGTGTCTACACCTCAATGCACCACTTAAAAATAATCACACAAGAGAGTCTTATTAGAAAGAAATGTATCTACATATTTTTACGTTGAAATACTTTTTACACTAAAAAAAATATTTATGTTGTTATACAACAATAATCTCCAATTTATACTTAAGAATTGCTGCATTTTTTCATTTGCTTTACTGATGCAAGTTACTTCGGAGATATGTATGTATAATTTACTAAATTTATTACTATTTAAATTTTATTTAAATTGGAAATTATGGTTATATATTACATCATTGAATTATAAATGATAAATTTCAGAACTATCACATTGCATTTTAAACGAAATTAAGTTCACATTTAACAATAAATATACTGTTCGTATTATATTTCTTTGCGATATATTTAAAAAAATAGCGCGAGCTAACAATTCTTACAGTGCGCAAGTTTCAATTAATGGACATAGATAGGCAAGTACCATCGAATAGTGAAACACTTTTAGTAGAATAATAAGAAACATTAAGATCTTATATATTATCAGAAATCTAATTCATAATACGAAGAAATATTAAATTTTAACATTAATCAGTCATAGTTTATTATTATTTCAATTATCAGTTGCACAACTGTCAGGTGACTGTGAACTTCACTTTAAGTGTTTCAACACGAAATCAATATTACAGTGGCTTTTAGAGAGGCGTGTTTGCGCACGAACGTTAAAATCGAATAAATAGTCGTCTGCAGGAAGACTGAAAGCAGACGTCACAATACACCACGACGTCGTGGTAGGATAACAGTGGGGCGCGAGCAAGTGTCAATTTGATTATTGTCATCATTTTTGTGAGTATCGGTGGTTCTGTCAAGATCGTTTGGAATTTCTACCGATGATCGGCAAATCGCGCATTCGTATTTCTGTGGGTGCCGTGAGGCGGCGAGAAAGACCACCTCTTTAAATTAAAAGAAGGAATGACGCTGGAGAATCCGTTCTTTGTCGTCAAGGAGTAAGTAAAAGTTGCATACTGTTATGAATTTTTAGCAAATCTTTTTTAATTGTACAAATTGCAAGTGACGAAATCATATCGATTCTGTGAAATTTGTGCAGTTATCAGGTTTGAACTTTTGTTATTCCTTTCACGACATTAGGGTTGTAT